GAGACGACGCTTTCGCAACGTTCGCGTCGTTTTTTCCTCTGGCGACAACCAACGCCTCGCGTCTAGCTGTCGAGTGTTCCGAGACCAAGAACGCGCAGATCGCGAGCCTCGGCGTGAGGAGAGGAAGGCGGGAAGGAAACGATGCGGGACGACGTCGTCGTTGCGCGACGACAATCGCCGATCCGTTTGGCGTGCAGCGTCCCGCGCGCGCAGTAACGCGAAACGCCCCTATAGCTCGTCTAGACGCCCGCGGATCTTGTGAAAAATCTGCATTACGTGGTATACATATGCGCGCGGTGTTCGCGGAGCGCTTGATCGAAACGAAGGGGGGAAACTCGTAGACAGGGGGCATCCGAGGCATTGTTCGAGTACGTGAGGACGGGCGGGAGGAGAGAGGGAGGGGGAGAGAGAGAGAGAGAGCGGGCGCGTGAGAGACGAGGATAAACTTAGCCTCAGGAGAATCGTTGCGCCATTACGACATGCGCGTCTTACGATACGAGAGCGTCCAGCCGAATGTAGACTAGCGTCGGGCGTCGGTACGAGCGATAACGGAGCCGTCCGATCAGTCGCGTACGCCATTCCGCGTACACGGTGTTGTCGACGGCGAGTGAAGCGTAGCGCCTCACGGCCCACGTCCGAGAGCGTCGAAATTCGTAAATTCGCACATCCGAAGAATTTTCTCTCCCTCTCTCTCTCTCTCTCTCTCCCCCGTTCGTCCGGAGGAGCAATCTCCTTGGCCCTTGGATTATCGGGGGTGGGGGAGAGGCGGATACACCCACGTCCGCGAATATCTTAACCTCGTTCTCTCTTCCCGCGTCAACAAAACGGTAGGATCCCTACGGAACGTTCCTGAGGGTGGTGGGGATTGCCTGAGTTTGTCGTTATTATTGTCATCATTGCCCCAATTCGTCTGGCGCGCGCGGCGCGCCGGGTCTGGCCGCCCACCCGCTAGCCACGGGTTACCTTCGCTTCGCCCCCTGACGTTTTCGCGTTCCCCTTCCCCGGGGAATGTTCGGTGTGCCGAGGTTCGACTCCCTTCTTTCTTGACATACCCCTACCCTTGTCAATTCGCCTTCTTTCTCGTTCCATTCTCGCCGCGGTATACGCCACGTTTTGAGGAGGCAACGCGAGGCGCGCGCGAGAGAAAGAGGAGAGCCGAGAGCTCTATTTCGCGGTAGGTTCCCACCTATGATACCTTCCCCCTACCCTCAACGCGCTCCTACCCCGTACGGCACCCGTAGGGGCACCGTCGTCGCCGCAGTGGATGGCAGTGCAGTGGAGTGAGGTGGGATCCTGGGCCACTTTGACGCGCGACTATCCTCCCTGCTCCCGGATCCCTTTTAGGTAGGGGCAGGGGGTGAAGTGGGGGAGCCCTCACCCCACCCTTGTGCACGCGGAACGATATCACTAAGGCTCTCTGAATTGGAAGCACGTTATTCACCTCGCGGCCACTTGCTCGGATGTCGAACTCTGACTTTGTCGCGAAGGCGACAGATACGTAGGGCAAGGATGGCCGAGTCAGTTTGGATGGATTAGGTTAAAGCCTACTCGCCGGGATGAAGACTCGACTTTTTCGCGTTATGTGTATGGACGGGTCGAGATGGAGAGACGATCTTGCTATCGTTCGCTAACGCGTGGCGACACCATGTGTTTTGTGTCTATCTCTTAATTTTATTTTCGATTTTGTTAATTGAAACAATGGATGTGTGTGTGTGTGTGTGTGTGTGTGACACTCAGATATTACACTTTTGTTACACTGCCAAATGAAATATTCTAGAAGCATGAGCATTCTTGTATTTGTAAATTCAAGTTTTTTGTACGTTCTCTCTCTATCATGATTTATTCAAATAATTGATTTAAATAAATCTTTTTGATTTGCATTCGTATACCAAAAATACGATGGAAACAAATGAATAAAATTCTGTTACACGCGCGCGCGCGCGTTTAATAAACGGTGCATCGACTTTAACACTTATGTGATAATAAGGCATTTCTCATTTATTTATCGCAAGCTGCATCATACATTTTTGTCTTTCTAAAATTGATGCTGTTACATCTTTCTAATTTCGCACATATCTATCCAACACACATCAAATGTAAATGTATATCAGTGGTTAAAAAGAAAATTCTAGATTAATTTTCAAACTATCCTGTGTATGAACATAATGTCTTACAATATACAGTCAAGCCTCCTTGTCTGATCTCTCTTCTTAAGAGAGTAGCTACAACGGTTGTACCTTTTCTTGGAAACGTTGAATTTTAGAGATTAAACAAATTTTGTAATCGACTGCTGAAATCACGAGAATGGATCTTTTTCTGTTACAGGTGTAATCGTCGAAACTTTGAAAAATGAATTTTACACCTTTTCCTGGATTTACTGGCTCGTTGCCGACCGGTACTGTTCATCAATTCGCCACAGCGAAATTTGCACAGAATCTTACCACTGGAGGACAGGTGGTGGGAGTTTTATCCGGTGGTGAAGGTGGAGTTCATTATTTGAGGCCGGTTGATCCGAACGGTTTCGCGGTCGCTCAGAGTGGTAATAGTCAACAACAACAAATTATTACTTTGCCTATCACTGTCCCGGGAAAGGATGGTACGCAGCAACAGCAGACTGTCCAGATACAGGTGGTTAATCCTAGCGTGGCACAAGGCGGAAATGGCGATCAGCCAAAGTATCATTTGGCGCCGATATCCCTGAGTCAGTTTCCACAGGGAGCAGCTACCGTTCTCACCGTTGCCTACAGTCAACAAGGCGCGGATGGTGTTCAAATTCAAGTACAACCGCAAAACACTGTAGCGACTACGCAAACGTAAGTGTATTGAACATTTTATAACTTGCGTATTATGTCATATTGTACGTTTTGTACAAACTGCAAAAGCAACGAATTTTAGAAAAAAAAAAAGATTTTACCGATTGTCACTAATTTGATTGTCCGATATTCGATTACAGGTCTGATCAAACGACACAAAGTACGTCTACCGCTGTGACTACCACGTCTCAACAGACCATTCAACAGACTGTACAACTTCCGGGAGCGCCCGAAGGTCTGACTGTAGTCGCTCAGATTCCTCAAGACTTGATTCTACGAGAGAGCATAGAGGAGTCCAAGGAGGATATCAAGGAAGGTACGACACCCGTGGCTCTTATTAAGCGAGGCGGTGTTAAGAGTCAAGGTAATCAGAGTGAAGAATTCATCACTTCTATGCCAGCCAGTTGGCAGAGTCTCGCTGCTCCAGGATCCACAGTTGCGGATTACCTTTCTAGACTGCCAACAAGTACTTTGCCTCTTAGTTTGCAACATTTTCTCAAATTTTCGGCGGAGACTATTAAAAGAGAAGCTACCATTGAATCCAGTCCGCTCGGACCGGATGGTCTCGATGCTTCCGGAAGTACAACTACGACAGATCAAGCTGTGCAGATTACAGTCGCCGGAGGAGAAACGGCGATCATTCCCGATGTTGTTGAAGAACAGGAGCCAGGAACGAAACCGAAGCGGAAAAAAAAATATAAAAAGAAACCACCGAAACCGAAGAAACCAAAACCGGGACAGGTGAGCATAGTCACCGCTCTAGATGGTACGACTCTATTTTGCTGCCCTCAATGTAACATGGCATATCCGGAGAAGGAAAGTTTGGAGCAGCATTTGATTGGACATAAAATAGAGAGGAGATTTATATGCGACATTTGCGGCGCTGGTCTTAAACGAAAGGAACATTTGGAACGGCACAAGTTAGGCCATAATCCTGATAGGCCTTTCATTTGTTCCGTTTGCATGAAAGGTTTTAAACGAAAAGAACACTTGAATCTTCATTTTGTTATACATTCTGGTCAAAAGACCGAAGTTTGCACCGAATGCGGTAAGGCGTTCTATCGGAAAGACCACCTTAGAAAGCACGCGAGATCTCATCTTACTAAGCGTGCCAAGGAGGATCCATTGAATACGACGAACGATTCGACGCAGACTCAAGCGTCGGACACACAAGTGGAGCAGATACAACAGCCCGAATTGCAGCAGATTCAGATACAAGTAGCACAAGGATCCCAAGCGCAGATTCAGATAGCGGTTAATGAACAGTCTACTGTAGTTTTGCCTACAGCGGCTGAAACTGGAGCTATGACTATGCTTCATCATCAGCAGCAACAGCAACAACAACAACAACAGCAGCCGCAGCAACCACAGCAGCAGCAACAATCGCAACAGACACAGCAGCAGCCACAACCACAGCAGCAACAGCAACCGCAGCAACCACAGCAACAGCAACAGCATTAGCAACAGCATACCGCCCCAAATCAACTTGGGCGGTACTTTCGTTTCAATCATCAGCACGCTAGATATCGTACACGACGTAGCGTACTTGCTGATTGAGGTTTTCAAATTCGATAGGAAAATTCATGTTATTGGACGAAAGTTTCGTTGGCTAGTTGATTACTGCAGATTACTTCATTATAGTCTCTTCGAAAAGCATTTTAAACACCTCCTTCATTTCTTTAAACTGTACGTCCTTGTCCATCGACACAAAGCCAGTTTGTTAGGATCGAGATGCTCGCGCCATCGGTTTAAATCACCTTTGATCACGGCACAACATGTTCGCGTACGTGTTTATAATAATTATGATCTTGTAAAGCGCGTTGAGAGCTGAAGTGACAAAATGCATATACACACAAATATTTGTCTTTTACGTACACGTTATAGCGTACGTGGAAAGAAGCGACAGTCGCCGCTCGCCTCAAATAAGATTGTTTTTGTCGCTGATCCAGTTCCATGACGCAAGTTAGAAATAAATATGAAGTTTATATATAAATATATATATAAATGAATAAAAAAAAAAATATATATATATAGAAATACACACACAAAAACAAAAACATATATTTTTGAAAGCGCAAACTTTGATTCACCCCACATGGCGATCGAGTTTTGGGCTAATAATAATAATAATATTAATTCGATTACATTTGAATAATAATTCGCTTTCACGACGATGATAAAAGATACGTAATGAAAGAATCAACGCGTGAGAAATACGGCATTGAACAGAGTTTGTAAATACACGTGCGAATTTTCATGAATGTGAGAGGAAATGTAATATTGATATGTGCCGTATGCGCGAGGTGAATCTATTTATTTCTCTTATGCAATACAATTGTGACATTATAAGGGAATCTGCCGATAAATCGTAAGTTCAATTTGTATTTTGTAGGAATATATCAACGGAAGCATGCTTACACTTTTCTATAATTTAGATCATTGCATATGTTGCCTTCGCAAAGACGCAAAGCGTTAGGAACGATCGAACCCGTGCTGTACGAATAACGAGTTGGTGGTAGAATTACATATAAAGAATCCATAACGTTTAGTACTTTTTCAGAAATGGTAGGGAAGGGGTTAATGATGAAGGAGCAAAAAAAAAAAAATTACTGAAACGCATCAGATTACAAACGTAATCAGACGCACCCTGTTCTGAAATCAGTGTTTCTACAATCGATAATTCTTCGCAATCTGCAAAGGATTCATCATGATGTAATATTGATCGTGTAAAAGTACTTTTGCACGTCGTAGGATCGTTACGGAGAAATGCGAAGTTACTTGCGTGAATTCTTCTCAATTGGGCACGATAAATGATACGATAAAAGATATATAAAAAAATATCGACGAAGATGACAGCGTATAGAGAACTAAAAAATTCTCGAATGTTAACCAAATCGATGAATCGTGATTCACCTGAAAAAGCTTTTTTATAAAGGTGTATGTATACATGGAAAAAAAAAAACTTATTATAAGTATCACAATTAAAGGCAATGGGTAACTGTACAAGAAATATTATTATTTTATTATCATAATATTATACAGATATATATACCATTATCGTAGTTAGAATAAGTAGAATGTAAGTCATTTTCATTGTTACTTACATAAATATTGGAGGAGAAAACTGAAATAAAACATACATTTAATACAAAAACATTCTCGCCTCTCTAATGAGATTCGCGTCACACATTATACCCTTTTGTAGTTATTTCCTTTAGAAAATATGATTTCGTTAGATTATGTCATAATATATATAGGCGTATAACGATATTTAAATTACTAATGTATGTATCGAGATGCGAGAGTATAAGGGCGAGTCTATCGTAGAGGGGATGTAAGGGGCATGTCGGCGGGAAAAAGGCGCAAATTAAGATTTTTGTTGCTCGCGATTCGGGCATTTTCGCCCCCTTTCACGCCGCGGCGCCGCCGGTGAGATGCGTCGCCGTCGCGTCGCGTCGCGTCGGGAGATCCGGGAGAGAGAAAAAATAGTTAAGAGGCTGGCACAGTAGAGGGCGGATAGGTGGGATGGGGGCACCGGCTTGAGAGACAGGTGTCAACTGTACACCGTACGAGGAATCTTTCTCCGGTGACAGCCGGTTGCGTGGAAAAACTGATCTAGGCGTGCTCGAGCGAGGGTTACCGAATGGTAAGCGACATTCCCATATCTCTCAGACTTCGGCTGGTCGCGCGGTGCGCGCGGGACTGCGAGTCGTGTCGGCACGGCCATTTTCTCTCTCTCGTGAGTTTGGTGCGCGGCGATGGTCCCACGCTGCGTATCGACTAAGTATCGGACGAGGTGGGGCGCGGAGGGGCCGCGGGGAGGAGAGGAGAGGAGGACCGGCTGGCGATTGCGTCCCTACGCGGGTATAACGCGTCCCCTCGACAATCGACTTCCCCTCCGCGCGCGCGCGCGCGGGCACCCCATCTTCCACGGCTATCTTCCGTCGGCGGGTTTTTTTTTGTCCGGTCGCATCCTCTTTTTTTTTTTCTCCGTCGGCGATGTTCTCGAGTGCGGCGCCCGGTAGACCTGCACGTTCGTTACGCGAACGAGAGGGGTGGTGAGCGCCGTGTGTGCGTCTAGCCGTGGCGTGTCCTTGGCCGCGAATCGCCTTGGTCGCCGGTTGCACGATCATACGTGAGGTTGTCACAGCGTTCAGGTGGCGGGTAAGCTTTCGTAGGACGAGTCAATCCGCCTGCTGACAGTGCTGACCGTCATCGCCACCCGCGTACATCCGTCGTGACGGACGCTGATCGACGACAGACGGAGAGTAGTGTGGTCGTGTAGTGTGGCGTGGTGCGTGTCTACCGACGCGCTTTGACGCTCTCTCTCTCATTCTCGCCGTCTCCCTCCCGCTCTCTTTCTCCGATCGTCTTTCTCTGGCGTATCCTCACGTGCGAGAAGAATCTTGCCCCCGTACACTCTCTCTCTCTCTCTCTCTCCCTCTGTCTCTCTTTCTCGTGACTTTCGTCTCTATCTCACGAGAATCTCCTCTGAAGAGTGCGAAGAAAGGATCACATCCGGTACGGCGAGGAAACATGGGGAGAGGGACATCGTTGTGAGTAAATATAACGCCGGGCGTCGCTCGGTGTCGTCGTCCGTCATCTTCGTCGTCATCGGTGTCATCGGCGCCGCTACCGCCACCGCTGCCGCCTCCGCCACCACCTCCTCTTCCTCCTCGGCTGTCGGCCGCGTCTTTACATAGACAAAGTTATGCCAGCGAGCCGAGATGCCGTTGCATCGGCATGCGTAGAGGTACGCGATGCGAAACGGAGCGATTTGTTGGTGGAACGCGGCTGGCGACGGCCTCTCGGCTCGCTTCCATTCGCGGGTCCATTCGCGTTTTATTTCTTTCACACTTCGCTTAAGGAGATGCACGTCTCTTTCGCATTTAGTTACTTTGAATTTTTCCTATTCGAATGTTTTCCTCTCCCTTTCAATATCTGCTTTCTTTCTTTCCAGATACACGAATTCTGCTTACGGTCTGCAATGAATTTCCCACCGTTCGGAGGTCACTTCCCTAGCACCATACCGAGCATCCATCAGTTTGCGACCGATAGCTCGAGTGGTGCAGGTGCGCGTTACGCCAATCATTTTCCCAACCAGCCTCCGATTGGAGTGCCGGTTGTGGGAAAATACCGTCCCGAGAACAACGGCGTACAGTCGGCTCAGTCGCAAGTGATGATGAACAATAAAACTAGCTATCCCAACAGTTCTAATGTTCATCATTATCCCAATGTGCCGTACACTCAAGCTCAATCGGTTCAGCAACGACCAGCCAACTCGCCTGGAATGCAAGAGAAACGATCGTATCATCAGGTAAAACGCAACTTCTCTTTTATAGTTTATTACAATTTACAATTCTAATAAACGTATTTACCTTCCTTATTTTATTTTTATTGTCGTAAATGTGATAAATAAGCGATAGATCTCGTGAGGGATTGTTTATAAAAACTGTTTTTCTGCATCATTCTGTAGCAGTTTACATGACATGAGAACGAATCCCTCTCTCCGTCGATTAGAGTTCTATAATTTCGATATCAAAATTATTATAAGAATAAAATAAAACGATGGAAAGTTCTTGAATTTTAAGTGTATATACGTATTCTTTTGCATAGCAATCCACGGAAACTATAAATCAACAAGATGTTTGCAACCTTCTTCAAGACAAAGACAAGAATAAGGAAAAGAAGGCTGAGGAGCAACAGCGGAATGGAGAGACCACTACGAATGGCACTCAACAGGATTACACGATGCACCAACATCATCAACAGCACGCTCATACGCAAACGCCAGCTACCATGCCCGCAACATGGCAGTCGCTCGCGACTCCTGGTTCCACTGTAGCTGATTATCTCAGTCATTTGCCAGCTAGCACTTTGCCATTGAGTTTACATCATTTTCTCAAGTATTCTGCCGAGAGTATTAAAAAAGAGTCGGAAATGGCGCAAACAACTTCGGTGGCTGTGGCAACTACAACAACGCCCAATATAATGATGTCACCGAATAATAAAAAGAAGAAAAAGAAGAAGACACCGAAGGAGAAGAAGCCACGTCCGAAACCTGGCGAAATTCGTTTAACGACAGCGTTGGATGGTTCGACATTATATTGTTGTCCTGAATGCCATATGGCGTATCCTGAACGAGAATTGTTAGAGCAGCACCTTTTAGGTCACACTTTAGAGAGAAGATTCGTTTGTGACATATGTGGCGCTGGCTTGAAACGAAAAGACCATCTTACGCGTCATAAACAGAGCCACAATCCTGAGCGACCTTACGTTTGCACCGTTTGCTTGAAAGCTTTTAAAAGAAAGGAACAGTTAACGCTACATTTTGTAATACATTCTGGGGAGAAGCGACACGTGTGCACTGAATGTGGCAAAGGATTTTATCGGAAGGATCATTTACGGAAACATACCAGAAGTCACATTGCGAGAAGAGTGAAGGCTGAATTAAGTCAAAACGCTGGTAAGAAGCACGTGCATTTTCTAATTATGTACTAATTACGTCCTGTACGAAATATCAAATGCAAGCTTCAAATTATTCTTGCCTATTCCTCTTCTCACATCATACCATCCATATGTATATGATTTTTGTGTTGTAGGTACGCAACAGAATCAACAACAAAATAATGTTTCGAGTATGCAAACCACAACCGTTTCAGCGTCATCTGTTCTTCCGGGTGGACATCCGGGTTCCCTCCTGTCCTGAGCCCCGCCACCAGGGAACTTCCAGGTTCCCCATCCAAATAACATTCTTCATACTCATACATCGCATCATTCGCTACATCATCATCATTTAACGGCAGTAAATGTAGCACATCAATCAAGCGTCACACCACTCGCTACGTCTGGTCATTATCAGTCACATGAGCTTAACTTTTTGGGGCACGTTAAAGATTTCTGAGACGAGAAGAGGACCTCGATGAAGAGGTAACACCAAGATGCTAATTAATTGTCACTATCATCGCCAACGACGATAATAAGTAGCTCTGAGACTGACTCATGATTTAAATTGAATGAATTTTATAAATGTATTTACGTTACTTTTGTGCTTTTAAACTTCCTCTCATTTTGTCTTCTCAATATAATAGGGAAAAGGAGGAAAGTGATGTCTCATTCCTTCTTCAAGTCTTCATTTATTTTTGACTTGACAACTTGTTATATTTGTCATGTAATTTTCATTGCCAGTAATGTTCCCGTAATAATGTTATACATCAAGAGACATGATAATATTTTGCGCAAATACACAAGAGATGTCCAATTATAATAAATCTTCCTCGAAACTAAACTAGAACTGATATATTTCTTTTTACAATGTTTCATTTTGAAAATGACAAATTATTTTATAAAGATAATGTTTGTCTGGGTGGAAACTCAACAAACTCAAAATCACTTTTATCAAGATTTTTTGTTTTTTTTCTTTTTTAGAGAGATATAAAAATGACGTTTTTTCACATAATTAATTTTCTAGTCATTTTGCATATAATAGTATTATGGTAAAGTTATCAGCAATCAAATTTTACAAAATACATATTACAAATTTATTTAATATAAAAAATGTTATTTATTTTATTCAAATATGTGTGAAAAAAAATGTTTCTTCATTGATTATATAATTGGACATCCTGTTTGTATGTAAATGTAATATAGGAGCGATTCGTAAAATATAATAAAGCGTATCTTTTAGAAAAAATGCTTTTTTCGAAATAATAATATATAAAAAATAAAAAACAGTCATAGACACTTATATGCTCTTTATAGCACAAACAAAAGTACATAATATGTGGGAAAAGTACTAATTTTCCACGGAAACTCTAGAGTAGAAATTTGACTACAAGTCAAAAATTCTTGCCATACGTCGTGTACGACGAGGAAAAAGAAGATATTTTTATGAAAAATGTAACTTAGAAACTAAGCGATTCGATGAGAGAAAGAGAGCGCGCGTGCGCGCGTGTGTGTGTGCGTACGTGCGTGCGTGTGTGCATAAGGGAGATAACACATCTCTTTATTTTATTTTTTTATAGCATTGCTTTTACATTTATATGAGTGATATGTGTGGTAATTGTCAATATTTTTTAATTTTTGTTGAACAACATTACAAGTGCAAATAGTGTAAAAGGAATGAAAATTACACGTAAAATATTCCTAATACACATTATAATAGAGTTACAAGTTAACCCACCGATTAGAAAACAGTGTTTTTTATTTTATAAATGAGTAGAATTATTTGATTTTTTTAGTGCATAAAGGGAAATTATTTATATTGATTATAAATTTTTGGTTATGCTCTATGAAAAAAAATTTTAAAGCGTAGCAATGTTTCATGATAGATAAAAATCATATTTTGTTTTATTAAAATTTAGTATAATATATAAAGTTGACGGTATTTTATATTTTTATGATGGTTCCAAATTTTTCTCTTGTGTGTGCGTGGATGCATGTGGATGTGTATGCAGGATCTATATGTGTATTATATTACATGTAAATCCAAACATATTTGCCCAAATAATTGGAGCAAATATATTCCTTATTTTCTTTTGTGACTTATCGTAGCATTGAGCACTTGTCATGTTTAACTAGCCTTTATAATTTTTATATGACTTTACATTGTTTTTATACATATTTTTCGTTGGACTTCTTATATTCGTTACATTCGTTGAATACTGATTAATAAATATATATATAGATTATATATATAAGATTAATTTTTTAAGTATGTATTTTTAAGTATAAACATATATGTAGGTGTGTGTGTGTGTGTGTTTGTTTGTTTGTTTGTGTGTGTGTGTGTAAGGTATAGTCTTTAATTTTCATATTTATCCACATCGCAAATCTCTTCACAGACTGTGATCGTTCCCGACAGCGGACATTTGATGTAATTATCAATTATCTGCGTTTTAAGTTTATATTTTTGCCTCCTTTTAGTCTTAATGTTCGTGCCATTCATTTTAAATTTATTTCTTTTCAACTTTTTTCTTGCCATACTAATAGATATTTGTCAGATACTTGTATGTATAATCATAGGTACCGTTGTGTGCATGGTTACGCACGTCTCACACACACATACATATTTTTTACAAATTATTATCATCATCATTATCATTGTCATTGTTATTATTTCTTATCATTATCATTATTGTTATTATTACAATTATTATTATTTGTCTTTATATATTCATAAATATTATAGAGAAAGAGAATTAACGACGGACGCGTGTATATATTATATAAACATGCATATTGCGACGTGAAAGTTAGAAATATGATGAGAAACATAAGAATTTACCTTTATTATTATAGAAATAAAAATTCCGAATACACAATTATGTATCTCTGTTGATTTTGCTGAGCTTTGATAAAAAAGGTTATCAATATTAAAATGTTTTATAATTTACAAGCAGAATGTTTATAAAGATACTAGTTCGAGATGTAATTACAGTATTTACTATTTACATATATTATCACGCTACGTTGAAAAATACGTAATAATATGGTCATAAAATGTCCAATTGCACTTATATTCTTTTTCGTAGATGCTTATTGCAATAATGAGATGAATAATATCTTTCTATGCGCTATTTTTATCTTTTTCATCATATCTCTAACAAAAATCGCGTTTTGAGTAACAGAAAATTCAGGTTTCGTCAGACCTCAAATATAATGATATATTACAATTATTTCATACACTGGTATATACCTATACATGTGTATACTAAAAACCGTATGTAAGAGATCAATTAATATTAAGATATTTCATTGCCACGTACTTGTAATTGTCGAGGCAGAGCGTTAGTTTTAAATTATACATTAGCGAGTAAGAGTTTATATACAGATATACATACTATTAGATAAGGAAGAAATAGAAGAAAAGAAAAGCTAAAAGCTGTTCGCGGGACGTGCCAAATATCGCGCTCTTTTCTTTTAAATTTGTTAGAGGAAAGTTTAAGATGTATACCTAATTTTTCCTGTAACGCAAAGTATATAACAATTCTTGAGATGTGTGTAAAAACACACCTCAAAAAGAAAAGCTTATAAAAAATTAATTTTTAATTAGAAAATAATGTAGACCTTTAATATATATATAGTCTTTTAATTTAGGGATCATTAATCGAACTGCTTAAAGATTGACAAATGGAAAAGATGCCACCGAATTGATTTTTGGTTAAGACGAAAGTTATAGTCCAGATAATAGAGTGACATGAAAAGACGATGTAGTGACGTCTATTTTGATCTATTTTGATCACTATTGTTGTCTTTTTATGTCCTCTTGGAAAAAAGAGCGCGAAATTTATCATACGTCCTACATGTGAGAAGAAACAAGAATATATATGGAAATAATACAAGTCTTGAGGAAAGTAACCTGTTTTATTTGCAGATAGTAGGCAGGATATATAAATAATAAAACGAAAGATGAAAGATAATGAAAAAAAAAAAATAAATAGCTTTATAAGAGAAAGAAAGAGAGAGAAAAAGACGGGAGAAAGGAAAGCGGGAGGATGAGAGAAAGAAGCAAATATTTCCAAAGTTCGAAATACTGTTCAAACAAATGAATGGCTCAAGGTCTATTTTGAAGGATAGCTAAAAAAAAGAACCTATTTCCATCCTCGACGAGGCGAACAGTTTATTCTTATGGTTTATAGAAGCGATCGTTTCGTCGAGCTGCATAGATGTAGTAATGTTCCTGTAGAAAAAGGAAAGATAATAGTTGATGCGTTTCTAAAAAAAAAAAAATAAAAGGAATACTTTTCCGGTGCCTTTATATTGCGCTGGATTTTCCGCACCCGTATATAGTTTTCCATGATAAGGTCTAAGTCGATAAAGCGGCGCGTTGTGCCTCTCCGTTCTCGGAACTACGTGTACACTCGTCCGCCTCCACGATGTTGGTTCGAGCGACCGCGACTTCTTCGTTTTTGTCTTTTATTATCTGTTTCTGCGACTGCACGCGTCAAAATATTATCCGGAATAGCTTGAATTCCGGAATATAACATGTCGTATCTTTGATTATCAAGTGTACCTCGTACCTGTCGATATGCAGGATTTCTTAATTTTTTCGAAAAATCAAAACCATTCGAAGCCAAAAGGAATAAATACAATATGCGAATGTGATCATCGCATTCGACGAACGAGAATGCCATTTATTTCGTTTATATGCCTTTTTCTCTCTTGAAAGAAATTATGTATCCGATTTATTAATTTTTTTTTCAAATCACGTTGATTAATTTTAATAATTATAGAAAACAAAACGGTTGTTGAATAGAAATGCCATTTCTATGAAGTATTAGGCACGCTCGTTCTATTTGACTAAGTGTCTCAGTGACATATTTGGTTCTCTTTTATCATCAATTATGAGTTTTATAGAAGATGATGATGCTGATGATGTTGACGACGATGACGATGATGATGATGATGATGATGATGATAATAAACTCATAGTAATAACAATAATCATAATAATAACATTAATAACAAAACAACAATAATAATATTAGTAATAATAACAATAATGATAATAGTAAGATTAGAAGCAACATAGAGAAAATAAGATCCGATTCTCTTGCGACGCGCTTACTAGTTTTATGCGAAACCGCAAAAAAATAAAAAAATAAATAAAAAACTAAATGACTTCAAGTCGGCAACGATTTACATTCGATGCGAATCATATACGATACGTAGCTTATTTCTTTTATATGTTTACAATTATTCGATAATTTACTATCTTATTGTATGAGATTCATGGATATTCTTTTATAAGTATTCATTGTTTGAAGCGCGAATAATGCTAAATAATTTTTGGCAGCGCCAAAAAATGGCATTTTTTCTTCCGCTGTCTTGCCACAAGTATGCGTATACTTGTAAAGATATTTTTTTATTGTCATTATATAAAAAAATTCGTTACTTTTTTTATCAATTTATTTGTTACAAGCGAATATATCGTTGAATGGTAGATCGTATAAAGACGACCAC